GAGGCGCGAGAGCGGCGGCGCGGGCCGGGGCCGGGGCCTGTCCCGGGCGGGGAGCGCCCCCAGCTTTGTGCGGGCGCGGAGCGGGTGGCGTCCTAGGGGGAGGCTGCAGCGCTGCCCGGCCCCGATTCTACCCCCTGGGGCGCCTGGTTCCAGCCTACCTCATCCAGAGCCGTGGAGGAGAGCAGGCTCCCCTCCCCTCCTGCCAGCAGTGGCCTAGGGCTGGTGTTTTTCGGGCAGTTTTACCCGCCCTCCCACACTGAGGCGGTCGAGAGAGGCCCGTGGAAAATGTCGCATGGGTGCCCCTGGGCAGTGAGGCCAGCTGAGCGGTGGAACAGGCCCCAGCTTCCCTCACCCTGCACTGAAGCTCTTAAATGCCAGTGAGTGCCACCGAGAGCTGCTGAGCGAGCAGTGGAAGGGAGGTGGTTCGCCCACTTGCCTCCTTGCTTCAGTCTGGCCTTGATATGCAAACCTCGTTCCTTGGCCGCTTTGATCAGTTTGCCCTTGGAAACGGTGGGTTTTCTTAACTGTTGAGATGCTGATTTCTGGTGGGTGTTTTGTACAGGTGGTTCTCAACCTGTTGAGACTCAGGGCAGCTTGCAGAAGATGCTAGCGTTCAGGTTTCAGCCACCAAAAGATAACAGTGATCCGTCTGTTGCAAAGAACTCAGAAGCTTAAAATCGGATCCAAATAGTTTTAACTGTGAATTTCTGGGTTTTATCTTGTGACTCATGTTAGCCGCCTGGAGGTGCTAACACTGGGTACCTCTATAAATGCACTTTACTGCAGAGCTGACTACAGGCAGTCCTTGACTTACAAGGGTTCGAGACAACTTTTTGTACTTACAACGTTTATAGATTGACACCCTGTTTCAACTTTATGACGTCAGTTTCGACTTTATAACGCTTGATGTGACCTGACGCCACGCCAGCAAACAAGTTTGTGGCATCACTTATCTCCCTGGAGAACATCTGTCCTTGGACACTTTCTTTAAGAGAGCAGACAAAACTCCAGAAAAACCTGCAGCCAAGTCTCCTGAGAAGACTCCAGCCAAGAACCCTTCAAAAAGTCCAGCAAAGTCACCTCAAAGAAGTCCTTCCAAATCAATATGATTGCTATTTACAAAAGAAATACATTAATGTAGCTATATTACTCGTCTATAACTGATCGAGTACAAAATTCTGGGGTATTTTTGGTGAAAATAGGGTATCAGGCCTTGATTCAGGAACCAATCCCCCATTTATAGCATTATTTCTTATGAGAAAGTTAGTTCTGAGTTACGTTTCGACTTAAGATGCAGTTTTCAGGAACCAATTGTGTTGCAAGTCCAAGGACTGGTTGTAATTAGCTCTTCAGTAAAGCGTCACAGTCTACATATGTGCTGATATTGGGGCGCAGTAACTAACAGTACTGTTCTACGGCAGAGTAGATTTACTCCACCAGAAAGCATATGTACACAGTGAGTGGGGCTGGTGGGGCACAACGGTGCTAAAGCACAGGGGCTGCCTGCCATACAGCTCCACACTTCAGCACTCTTGTGCCCCAGCCAGCCACCTGACACTACTGACTCTCAGAGGGAGTCAGTTCCAACACGAACCAAAGCGGGCAAGAGTGCTAAAAAGCCCCCTTGGCTCAATAAAGACATCCAGGAGGGCCTGAGGGCAAAAAAATGTGGCATACAATCAGTGGAAACAAGGGGCAATCACCAAGAAGGATTACACCTCCGTTGCTCATGATTGCAGGGAGGCGCTTAGGAGGGCCAAGGCAGATACAGAGCTAGGGCTGGCAATCAGAATTAAAGATAGCAAAAAGTCCTTTTTTAAATATATAGGGAGTAAGAAAAAGGCATCAGGTAATGTGGGGTCCCTACAGACAGGCTTGGCAATCTAGTGATTGCAGCAAAGGAAAAAGCTGATCTCTTCAATGAGTTTTTTGCCTCCATATTTTTTAGCAGGGACCAGGACAACTCCCCCACTAGGATTACGGACAGGCTCAGGGGACACGACGCCATGCCTTGGGTGAGGGACAATCTAGTTGGGGAACTCTTGGAGGGGCTGGACGTGTATAAATCATCAAGTCTGGATGCTCTTCACCTGAGGGTACTGAGGGAATTGGTGGAGGTCATAGCAGGGCCCCTGGCACAGCTGAATGAGCACTCATGGGGCTCTGGCCAGGTCCCAGAGGACTGGAAAAAAGGGCCAATGTGGTCAACATTTACAAGAAAGAGAGAAAGGAGGACCTGATAACTAAAGGCTAGTTAGTCTTACCTCGGTCCTTGAGAAGGCCTTTGAGAAAATTGTCAAGGAGCACATCTGTGGCGACCCAGCATGGGAGGTAATGCTCAGGGGCAACCAATACGGCTTCATTGCGGGCAGATCCTGCCTGACTAACCTTGTTTCCTTTTACAACCAGGTCACAAAGCCCCTGGATGTGGGCGTTGAGGTGTATGTCGTCTACTTCGACTTCAAGAAGGCCTTTGACACTGTTTCTCACCCCATTCTCATAAAAAAAACCAAACTAAGTGAATATGGCACTGATGCCTACAGTCAGATGGGTGGCAAATTGGTTCAATGCTTGCACCCAGAGACCGGTGGTGGATGTGTCGTTTTCGACCTGGAGGGATGTGGACAGTGGAGTTCGCCAGGGCTTGGTCCTCGGGCCTGTGCTATTCAACATCTTTATCAGCGACTTGGAGGTGAGCGTGGAAAGCATGCTGTCCAGATTTGCTGATGACACAAAGATGTGGGGAGAAGTGGGCACCCTGGAGGGGAGGGACAGAATCCAACTATATCTAGACAGGTTACAGAGGTGGGTGGATGAGAACAGAATGGAATTCAATGCAGACAAGTGCAGGGTACTGCATCTAGGGAGAAGGAACCTGCAACACACCTATAGGCTGGGAAACACCCTTCTCAACAACACAGTGGTGGAAAGGACCAACAATGACCTTGGAGTCGTTGACTGCAGGATGAACAATGCGAGGAAGCGGGCAGTAACTGCACCTTGTCATGCATCTACAGATGCATCACTAGCAGGTCCAGGGAGGTGATCCTTCCCCGCTATGCGGTCTTGGTCAGGCCGCAGCTGGAGTGCTGCATCGAGTTCTGGGCACTGCACTTCAAGAGGGATGTAGCTAACCTTGAGAGGGTCCAGAGGAGGGCCGCTCACATGGGCAGGGGGCAGCAGGCCAGGCCCTATAAAGATAAACTAAAGGGCCTAAATCTATTCAGCCTCCACAAGAGAAGACAGAGGGGATCTGGTGCCCGTCTATAAACTCACCAGGGGGGACCAGGAGAAAATAGGTGAGGCTGAGTTACCCCAGGCACCACCTGGGTGGATGAGGAATAGCAGACACAGATTGTTTGAGAGCAGGTTCAGGCTTGATATCAGAAGGCATTACTTTATGGTTAGGGCTGCCAGGCTCTGGAATGGGCTCCCAAGGGAGGTGGTGCTCTCCCCTACCTTGGGGGTCTTCAAGAGGAGGTTGGATAGATATCTGGCTGGGGTATTATGATCCCATCACTCATTCCTGCCCAGGGTAGGGGATCGGATTTGATGATCTGTTCAGGTCCCTTCTGACCTTTGAAACTATAAAACCACCACACAGAACCCAGTCTTACGTCCAATAACACTATTATGGATCTTGTACCAGGTATGGAGACTAAGACTTGGTTAACTATAAGCAAATTTATTAAACCCTAACAGTTACAATTCTAAATCCAAAAGCAAAATAACCTTGGCAATTACAATTCTAGTACTGTAGTTAGTCAGAAGCGATACAACATGCTCACCAGCCTAAGATATAATGAACAAGACGTCACTGAATGGTTAGTCTGCGAGGTCTTCTCTGGGGCTTCCAGTTTGTCAGCTTGGAGGCTTAAAGACCCCAAATTTTCTAATTTTTTGCCATAACAGAGCATAAGGGGAAGAAGGATAAGCATCTTCAGGATAGCCAGGGGAGTCCTTATCTTGATAGTCCCATATATTGCCATCCCACTCATAATCCCAATTATAGGGACTGTGACTGGGGGCAGCTCTCGAGGCCGGGTCTCATGCCGGCCTGCCCACCTATCTATGGGGCAGTCTGTCCAGTCTCTCCTGCCTTGACTTTGCTGTTCTCAAAACAGGTGGTAAA